GTTCCCTTGGGTCTCGTTGTCTTCTTCCAACATTATGGAGAGGTGACGGGTTTAGCCCTTGCTGTCCTCAATAAGGTCAGGGTTCTTCCCTGACACCTTGTGTGGCCCGGAAGAGAGGCAAAATCGGGACTGGGAGACCAGCAAGGAGGGAGGACTTGGGTGGGGCAGAAGGGGAGGAGGGGGTGGAGGCCAAGGAGGCAGCATGTGGGGATGAGGAGGGACCAGGCACCTGGAAAGACACCCAAGTGTCCAGCCGTGTGACTCTTGGATGTAGGACCATTTATTGATTGGGTGGGTGATGTTTTCTCTCATTTCCCCAGTTCCTTTATTCTTCCTATTTCTAGTAATTCTTAACCGCTGACCACCGATGATGGTTAATTTTGTGTGCCAACTTGGCTAGGCTATGGTTCCCAGTGGTTCTGCCAAGCACTAGGCTAGTTGCTGTTCCGTCATGTAATCGGAATGCAACGTAATGTAATCAGTCAGTTGAAAGAGAAGTTTCCTTCTCCCTGGGCTCTGCTCTCTTCCTGTTGCCTGATCTACAGATCTTGGGATGGATCATAGCACACAAGCTTACAGAAGTATGCAGCATATGGATTTTGGACTTTCCAGCCCCCACAACTGCATGAGCCAAGCCCTTTGAAGTAAAAATCTCTCTCTCTCTCTATACATACATATACATATACATATATATATATATATGTATAAACAAAACCCAAACCCATTGTCATCGAGTCCATTCCAACTCATAGCGACCCTATAGGACAGAGCAGAACTGCCCCACAGGGTTTCCAAGGAGTGGCTGGTGGATTCGAACTGCTGATCTTTTGGTTAGAAGCTGAGTTCTTGACCACTATGCCACCAGGGCTCGATATATATATATATATACATATATACATACATACATATACATGTATACATACATAGCTGCTGGTGGGAATATAAAATGGTGCAGCCTATGTGGAAAACAGTTTGACAGTTCTTCAAAAAGTTAAACTTAGACTTACCCTATGACCCAGCAATTCCACTCCTAGGTATATACCCCAAAGAATTGAAAGCAGGGACTCTGACAGATACTTGCACACCAGTGTTCATGGCAGCACTCCTCATGGTAGCCAAAAGGTGGAAACACCCCAAGTGTCCATCAACAGACGAATGGCTTAACAAAATGTGGTGTATAGGTACAAGGGAATATTACTCAGCCATAAAGAGAAATGAAGTTCTGATACATGCTTCAACATGGATGAACCTCATTATGCTGAGTGGAATAAGTCAAACACAGAAGGACAAATTGTGTATGACTTAATTTACATGAAATATCTAGAATCACCAAATGTACAGAAACAGTGGATTGGTGGTTACCAGGGACTGGGAGGAGGCGGGATCCGGGGAGGTATTGTTCAATGGGCACCAAGTTTCTGTTTGGGAAGATGAAAAGGTTTTGGAAACAAATAGTGGTGATGGTTGCACAACATTGTGAATATGATTAAGGCCCCTGCATTATATACTTAAAAATGATTAAAGTGGCCAGTTTTATGTTATATATATTTTACCACAATAATTTTTTAAAAAATAAAAAATATATATGAAGGCAGGGATTTCTACATGTTTATTTCTTGCTGGGAGTCCCTGGGTGGTGCAAGCTGTTAACACACTCAGGTGCTAATGGAAAGATTGGAGGTTCGAGTCCACCCAGAGACACCTTGGAAGAAAGGCCTGGCAATCTACTTTAAAAAAATCAGCAATTGAAAACTCTACAGATATACTCTGACACACATGAGGTCGCCATGAATTGGAATGGACTCAATGACAACTGATTTTTGGTTTTTCCCCTGCTGGGGCCCTAGAGCCTAGAGCAGCATCTGAGACACAGTAGGTGCTAGGTGGATGGATAAAAAAGCCTGTAACAGGACAATTCGGTAGCCAAATTGGGCTACCCAGGTCCCTGATGACCCCTCATCACCCACCGTATGATTTTCACTCTCAGAACTGAACATTCTGGGATGACCCAACCCACCCCCATACCCCATTAGCACCTCCAGACCAGGGGAGACATCTCCTTGACAACCTGGCTTTCCCAGATCCTGGACTCAAACAGGTCCTGGCTCTGGGGGACCCTCAGTACATGTTTGCGATGTGAACAGGTTTGCAGAGTGATGGAGCAATTTTGGACAGAACAGATTCTCCCTCAAAGCCTCAGAAGGAATCAACACGGCCGACACCCTGATCTCTGACTCCCAGCCTCTAGAACCGCAGACAGTACATTTCTGTTCCTTAAAGCCACTCACTTCCTGGTATTTTGTTACGGCAGCCCTCAGAATCTAATACACCAGGTAACATCTCAGTGTTAATGTGAAAATAGTGCTGACCTGGCAGAGCTCCTGAGAAAGTCTCAGGGACCAGTTCTGGGCCACGCTTCGAGAACTGCTATTTGAACTCAAGTAATCCATGCAAGGATGTTAGGTAGTGGGTACTATAATTATCTTCACTGTACAGGGGAGAAAGCGGAGGCCCAGACAGGTGAAGTGATTTGCCCAGAGTCACATAGATGGTAAGTGGTGTCAGGAGACAGGAGACAGTGACCTGAGCTTCAATCGTTCCCCCTGAAGTCCTAGCAAGTCTCTTTGGGGATAAATGGGGAAATATTATTGGCTGAGTGACCATCACCAGGCTACATAACTGCTTGGTGCCTCAGCTTCCCCAGCTGTAAAATGGGTCTAGTAATAGTGCCCAGCTCAGAGCCTTGTTGTGGAGTAAATGCTGTTGTTAGGCGCTGTCAAGTCGGTTCCAGCTCATAGCGACCCTATGTATAGCAGACAAAGACTGCCAGGTAAATGAGTGCTCCCTAAATGTTAGCTGTGATCATCATAAATAAACCCGTTGCCGTTGAGTGGATTCCGACTCATAGCGACCCTATAGGACAGAGTAGAACTGCCCCAATAGGGTTTCCAAAGAACGGCTGGTGGATTCCAACTGCCGACCTTTTGCTTAGCAGCCTACCTCTTAACAACCACTACGCCACCAGGTTCCCTAAGCAAGTTTAAAGCGTTTGTGTGAGCGAGAGCACACAGGTGTTCCAGAGGTGTGTGCCTCAGTTTCCCCATTTGTCCAACCGGAGACAGGCCCATGCCCTCTGCAAGCCCCTCCCTGCCTGCTTCTGATACCTGCTCTCCATTTTCAGTACCCACACTGGGGTCTCTTGGGGGCATGTGAGCCCTGAAGACGCTCCATCATCCACATCAGACCTGGGGGCGCCTGGGGAGGAGCTTGGGGTGAGGAATGTAGGATCCCTCAGGAAGGGCTGGCGCAGATACCGGGGTCCCATCCTCTGTGCACAATCTCTGGGTTCCAATTTAAGCTCTAAAGGGGAGCTCGGACGTTGAGGTTTCTGTCCCTGAGTGGGGAGTGAGAGGAGATAGGACCCCACGATCCTTATTTCTGGAGCTCTTTAGATACTTGGGTCCCGGTCCCTGGAGGAGGGGGTTAATTTGCCAAATCCTGGCCCTATGGGGGAGGGGGCGCTGACGTCTGGGTCCCCACCCCTACCGGGGTCTCCGGTGTGGAGTGCCCTCCTTGTCCCGAGGGGCTGCTGAGGCGCAGAGTGGCTTAAGGTGGGGAACCTCTGACTCAGAGTTTCTCGTCCTGGGGGGTGGGGGGCTCTGCAACCTGCTGTTTCCGTGGGATAGGGGGACTCTGACGCCCAGGCTAGGCCCCCCATCCCCAAACAGACCTGCCGGAGGGACCCAAGCAGGGCGGGATGGAGGGGGCGGGGCCGCAGTGGGCGGGACTCCGCCAGACCTCGCCCCTTGCCGCCAGCGCTGTCCCCGCGTCTCCAAGTCGCCGAGGCCGCTGTAGGCGCCCAGCGCCGCGCAGCACAGCCCGCGCGCCCCGCCGCCCGGCCCGCCCGGGTCTATGGAGCAGCCCCTCCGTGCCGCCCGGCCGGCCCCACGCCGCGCCCGGAGCCTGCCCCGCGGCCGGGTAACGGGGCTCGGGGACCTGCGGGGAGGGGACGCCTGGAGGCCGGCCAGAAGGGACTGGGGACTCTTGGGTCCTGGGGCTGGGAAGGGAGGAGGACACGGATGCTTGGTTCCTGGAGAAATGGGGGTTGGAGACATGGACTGCTGGGTTCCGGGCTGAGGAATCTGGACACCTGGTCGGAGAGGTCTTGGAGCGGCCTGGGTGCTAGGGAGTGAGGGGTGTCCTGCAAGCCTGGTCCTGGGAAAACGAAGACCTAAATGAACACGTTCCCGGTTCTGAGGAGAGCTGGAGAGCAGGACACCTGGGCCCCGAGAGTCGGGGGTCCATCCTCGCAGTGTCCTGGGAGCTCTGGTTCGGCCCCTGCTCACACGCCCCAGGGAAGAAGTTGCGGGTTGGCAGATTCGGCGGCCCGGACCAGTGGCACCATCCGGAGGAGCTGGGGGTGGGGAGGTCCCTGGGCAGGACACGGGGTGGAGTCCCTGCCCTCGTCCCCTCCTCCTCTCCTGAGCTTAGCCTGGGGACTAGGAGCACACAAATCTGGGGGAGGCTGGCGTCTGGAGTGGGCTTGGGGGCGGGTCCCCTGGGCAGGGGGGTCTGGGGGCTGGGACCCGGTGCGCTTGGGCCCAGCGAGCGCCCGCCCCCGCC